TGACCGCGCCAATGCGGTCTCCGAAACACGGGGGTGTACTCATACTCATAGTCGTGCATGCCGTAGTCGTTAGACCATTGACCTCGCATCCCTACAAAGCCGGGACGGAGCACGCCGGGTTCTCACCGGACCAGGCTCTCACATCACCAAGCGCGAAGCGCCGTGAGATATTCGGCGAGTCGCATGAAGGGTGCGCTGCATCCTGCTAAGGGTGTTCGGCATCTTGTGCTTACTTCCTTGCGTACGGATGACAGCTGCGTATGACTTAATTTATTTTCTGGTGCTTTCACTTCCAGAGACAGTTGTAAGCACTGTGTAACTGCCTCGAGGGTGCTTGACCATTTTAACACAACGTGGTGCGATCATCCCCCTTGCGCGGAGTGAGGGTTCTCCACCCCGCACAACATGATCTACTCGACCACCAGTATGGTTACCGCCAAAAAATACCGGAGGAAAAAAAAAAAAAACTGTAACCTGGTTGCCGAGTTCACGAAGTGAATTGGCTTGTTTTACAACGTCTTTGCCAAGCGACGAAAACCCAATCCCGATGGCAAACACCGGGGGGGGCGGCTTGTTTTACAACGTCGTTGCCAAGCGACGAAAACCCAACCCCGATGGCAAACACCGGGGGGGGCTCACGGGGGGGGGAGAAAAGAGGAACCAAGTCTACGCTGCACGGTGCTGGCCGAGTGGAACCTGGAACACTGGAGAGAGGTTCTGTTTTCGTTATTTGCTGTATTGTAGGCAAGGCGTCAACAATGTAGATGTTCCCGGTCCTCCCGCATCCAAACGGTCCCGGTATTCACCCACGGCATGAGGCAGTCGCGAGGATGCCCCTCTTCAATCCACCAGCCGTATAGAATAAGTAACCTCAGAGGACGTGCGATGAAGCTATGAAGCGTCGAATCATATCGTTGACCAATATTCTTCTTCTGGTGCATTCTGGCGCTTCTGTTGTTATTGCTCGTTCGGCGACACGACATACTGTAGGTCGCCGCCTTTGACGAATCCAAGCGCTTCCCGCGATTTTGTTGGGCGTGGTCTACCCGAAGGCCAGGTCTCCTGTTTCCACCAGTTCTCGAATCTGGGGGCTATTCTAGATACATCCTGTTGTGAGATCCCTTTGTTTCGTAGTATGGCGGTCGATGTCCTTATGAAAACACTTTATCTACGACCCGCCCGTCGGCTCCCGGCCTTGCTAGACACAGTTATTGGAAAAAAATACCTCACTGAAAAGACTTCACCCCCCTTTCGACTGTGGTTATATCTCGAACGGGTGGTATTTCTTTGTTAAGGTAATTATCGAATTTTTATACCGCAAGATATATTTCAACCTGTTCTTGTCCGCTAAGGTTTTCACTAGCTGGCGGGAATGGGCGGGCGCTTGCGTGTGTTGTGTGTGTCGAAACGCACACACAAGCGCAGACGAGCGAGGTGTCATTGCACTTGATCGAGTTTCTAACTCTGTTGACATCTGGGGCCCGCGACGAAATATGTCTTCGGCGGGCCACAGAACGCGCCACCACATAAGAGCTTATTCTTCTGGCCGAGGCTGGGTTTGTTAGTCCTACGGATACGCTACAATGACCGCGTAGGTTTTACTGTAGGGGTTCTTAGCCGGGTTACGCTCGCAAATGGTGCTCAAGCTCATAAATTTTCAAATATGTTTGGCTCAATTTCTCAACTCCTGGATTCTGATGTGGTGGCGCGTTCTGCATGTGTGTAGCAAGGGCAGGGATCAAGTTGGGGCGATCCATGAGGATTAAGAGGTGCACATTCACAAAACAAGATGGTACTTTGCCGTGGCCAACATGAAAATTAGGGCGAGTCAAACGACTACCCTACAACCAGAAGCAGAATTGCTGCTTCTGGAGTTGACTCTAGCCAAGAGGCCGTCAAATCCCACGTTGATTAATGTTTCAATTTGTCCCTCTTCCAGGAGAAAATCCATTTCAGTCAAGAACCTTCTATATTAAAACAACTGTTCACCATTGACGGTACACGAACGGAGTGATGGCGTTGCAGTGGCCCGCCCTACCTAACATTCGATAGGGGGGGGGGGCAATCAGGAACAGGAAGCATTGTTGACCAAGCACAGGGTGCTACTTTGTTTGACTATCAACGCCTGCAGCTGGCAGTTGTTGGTCGTGATCGTAGGGTTAGTATCGACTCCGAACCTCTCTGTAACACTTCCATTCACAGGGCAAGAAACTATCCAACAAACTGTCCCAAGTGCCACAACACTGTTCGTTCGCGTTTCGAATTTTCAACCTGACCTCCACACTATCAGGAAAGAGCGACTGCGTGGACGCCTTCAAAATCGCTTTGAACCAGGCTTGTGATGGACAAGAAAAGCGTTGGTATGCGTCTACGCTGGAGCTACAGCTTGCGTCGCTGGAGTTCTGTGGGGCGTGCAGAAGTGTCCCAAGCTTGCACGTGCGTGTCGATCGACAAGCACCTGCAAGCTTGTGGTCGCCTCGCAAGTCGCACACCACACCGAACGAGCACAGTCGAGAGGCTTGCATCTCGAGTCGCGTGCCGGCTGTGCAAGCGTGTGGTCTGACGTGGGCACTCCCAATGGAGGTTCTGCTGCAAAATCCTGCCGTTGAGCTACGGCCAGGCTCAGAGCGTCTGCGATTGACGGAGGCTTCATCTGCAGCTTGTCTAGGATCCATCATTTGACCTCAAAGGCTCACATGGCTGGTATTTGATCTGGACATGACCGTAAACACCGCATTGTGGCCGGCCTTTCTGCAGGAGCTATTGTTTGGTCCTAGCTTGAACCAGTCGATCTCTGATGTTGTGTGGCCGCCCTTCTTGCGGCGGGAATCTTTTGGACGCCTGTTCAACCAGCCAATATGCTGGAAATCAGTTTCCAGGCACCAAGCCTCCGAGATATCGTGACATGTCGTACACCGACGCAGAAGAAGACATGTGGTGTGGGCGGCAAAAGGGTTTGCCCGGGGTAGACGTGTTATCACGGTGGGCGAGCTCAGCTGTACTGGCTTATATCACTGGTCATTCAACCTTCAAGGTGGAGGTGGGGTTGGGGGGGTGCGCATTTTACGAGGGGTGATCGCCGTGTGTGCGCCACAACGTAGGATGTAGACAGGGTTGCCCGATATACCACAGAAGAACTGAGATACAGTAGTATTATTAAGGGCCAAAACGCGCCGGAGCGCGCTGGTGTGTGGTTTGGGGAGGGGGGGGATGGGCGTTCAAGTGTTTCAAGACTGTAACCGGGCCGTAACATGTTGTTGATTGCATTTTGCCACGCAACGTGGTGCTTAACGCGCCATGAACATGGACAATCGGACGTCTCGACGATGAGGCATTTCCAGTTGGATTGCATGCCGCCTCGATGATGCTGAGCTGTGACGATGGATTTGAAGCTAGGTTGGCTTACAAAACAATTGAGGACAAGATGGGTCGTGGACGTCCTTGTCGTCGTTGTCGTGATGGGGATAATGGTACTTTTCTGTGCCCCTTTCGCGTTTTTTTGAATCGCTGCGAACGTGAACAAGCGTCAGCATGGCAAGGCAGTACATTTCTTGTTTCAAACTGCAATTTTCAACTGCATGTTGCGGTGTCTCGAACTCTGAGGCGAACGATATCCTAGACTGTGTGGGGGCCGGGGGGTATCTTTCACGAATGTCCGGAGGGTACGCGTATTCTTGTTTCAACGTTCTCTAGGCGTTGCGGTGTCGTCACCTGTTACCGACGCACGGTTTCAATCTTGATAAATTTGTGTCCTCCACATAGGTGCCGGCCGACCAGCTGGACTTTTCTGGAGGTGGATGTGCAGGAAAGGCGTTTGTCCGGGCTGTCCGAAAAAAGCACAATTTTTCAAATTGATTTTCGTGACGTACAGAGTACCATAGTACGAAGCTTCTATGTGTTTTGATACTCGATCGCAGCAGGCAGGACGTTTCTCGCATTTCAGAAGTCACCGAGGGTGTCAACACCAAGAACTGTCCAATGCTCGGCGGTTTCTGGTGAGGTATTTCAGTAGACAACATGGACACCGTAATTTTCAGTTTTCCCCATAGGCAAGAATGCAGCCCCATATGCAAACACATGAGGCATGATATTGATCCAACGGACCGATAGGAACATGAGGTATAACTACCCCCAGTCGAATCCCTGGTCAAGGTTCTGTTCGACGCATCTAGAATTTGTTTGTTTGCCGTCGTTACTTCAATCTGTCGCCCCTACCACTAGACACAGTCAACACACACATCAACATTGGCTTCGCATGGCAGGTGGGAGAGAAAGTAAAGTGGGGGTGTCAACACAAAGTGGAATACATACATGTAGAAGACCTCCCGTGTGCCCCCCCTGGCAGATACAAACATGCTGTACTCCGAAATGTGTTGAAGACTGAGGCCAGAAAAGATGGAACGTACACAGTAGTCTCAGTAGAGTCAGATTGTTGGCGCGGTCATCTGGCGTCGCCAAGATGCAGCAGTGACACCTCTGCCGAACAATGAGGAGAATTGTTTCCCTGGTAGATTTTTATAGTGTACCGTAAGGTTGCGAGTCCGCCCACAGGAGTGCGAGCGATCTTCAAAGCGTAATTTCTCCACAACCAGGAGGTTACCACTTCCGAAAGGGAGGATTGGAAATATCTCATCGAGAGCTTTCCTGACAAGTATCGGTCGGCGCTCGCACCCTCCTGGTTGTGGAGCAGGAGAAATTACGCTTTGAAAATCGATCGCACCCCTGTGCGCTGACTCGCAACCTTACGGTATTGAGATCGTGGTCCCATCAAAATGAACCAGCTGCTGTTGAAGTTGCTGCGGTTGTAGACTGTACCGTAAAGTTGGTTGGGTTGATCGTTGATCGGTTAGCAGCAGGGGGGCTCCGTGACTGCAAAAGTGTGAACCGGCAGAGAAGGCGCCGCTAAAACCTTTTTCACGAACGAGATTGTGCTCTCGTCTACACAATCTGCTCGTTCTCCCTGTAGCCCTTGATATTCGCTTAGCTTCCTTCCGTACTTCATGTGCGACACCGGGCCGGTACCACCTTCGCCATGCGTGCGGCCTCTGCTATCGGCACTGCACCTGTGGCGAGTGACGCCGACAGAGGAATCACTCCGCAAGATCATTCGGCCGTCGAAGGGGCAACTGCCGATTGTCCTTAGAGCTACCCGTATGGCCGGTCGAAAAGTGCGTCTTCACTCCACGGGTTGCTCCCGCATGTGTAGATTTGTTGCACGGGGACTCCATTTTTCCCTGGCAGTATCACCGCCACTTCTGGAAGGTGTTCGCCAATTGTCGGCGTACGTATGTTGCCATAGCGCGACCGGAGTGTGATCGAAGCGCCCAAGCTGTTTGCGTAGAGGGGTGACACAATATCATACACCAGGTACAGGATTTTGTCATGTCGCATGCAGGAACCTTCCACCATACTCAGTACCGTACCCGTAGGCTGTAGGTGCTTCTATAGTACGTACTCGACACGTTACTGTAGACTCCTGACGTACGACAGTGAGAGACGCCGCCGTTGCTGCTCTGCTGGTCGGTAATGACACCGAATGTCGGAAAAAAAATGCTCGCCAAGGATGTGGAATGGAACACCAAGCAGGTAAAGTAGGGCTTCAACTGACCCAACACACATGGGCAGCGCCCTCAATGCACAATTCACACAACCAACAAATTCTTGATCATGTCGACTGTTACCCTGTAGGTGGTCCTGAGCGTGTGGGCCGTGTCAGACGGGGAAGCCATGACTGTCAGCGTCTATGATCACAAGGCCGTTCAAAACCTGGAGATCACCTTGCTGTGTGGCTGGTGGGCGGAGCTTGGGATTACGGGTCTCAAGTCCATGGCACCTGCGGGGCTCAGCGGGTTAGCAGGTAAGGCAGGCACAGTGGTCATGGCACCCTGTGTCTGATTCCTGATACCTACACATACAACCCAGGGCCTGCGAAGCCTTGACACTTGTGCAACCGAAATCCTCTTGATGCAGTCCTGATGTTCTTGCTCGAATGCAGTCCACACCTTTCCTGGATACTATTGAAGGCCCTATTCTACTCCATTCCCGTCGTCGAACGAAAACCGCCGGGTTCACTCGTGTACCATGCCATGATGTTGTGACACATCACAACACACCGTTAAGACATCATTTTCCGAATGGGTCATCAGAAGTCGCGACAATGATGGTGAGTGTCATGACTCGGGCCATGGCCCACTTGGAGTAACTCGGCCATGACCTGTCTTGGCAGAGCCGTGGTAGGTCATGACAGATCACTCCTCCGCCATGACCTGCTCATAGCACGGTCATGACAGATGTTGCATTCCCTGCATTTCAAACTCAATATAATGTGTTGCAGTCCGGACTCGCAGGTGGCATGACTTGGTCATGGCCAAGTCATTACCCGGACGTGGCACGGTATACTCTAGCGCAGCTCCCTGTTTCCTTTGACGACCAGCAGAAGCGTTGATAACTCACGACTTCGCGACCTCGTGTGTGTCGAGGGTGAAAAGGTTGATGCGGTAGGAAGCAACATTTGTATCCCCCCCGCGCCCCTACCGTGCAGCATACTTGGTGCAAAGCATCTCGCTTCAGATCCCGCAGCCAGACCGCAAGGGACGGGTGGACATGTCGAAGGCTTCGCTGCAGTTCAGCCCAGGCCCACCGCCGCCCCGGTTCGAGTTCGGTCCTTCCCAGTTCGACCGAAGAAACCCTTCCGATGGCAGCGAAGCGGGCGACACCTTGAGGCCACCAGTGGGGGGCAGGACGGCGAGCCGCGTTGTGTGGAGGGGCATCCGCACATTGAGGCGGCGAGCCGTGCTGCTGGCATGCGCTCGGAACGTGAGCGTGCTTTTGGATGATGCCATCGATATTTGTTTGGTTGCTATGTGTGCGAGGAACGTAATCTCTGTGGAACGCGTGTCTGTGAAACATGGAGCATATATCGTCGCAATTTTCGACAGTTGCCAACAGCACTTGACATGTATCGCCAGCCCTTACGACAACCGCCTGAGCCGAAGGGGCGTATCTCAAGGCACACGGGAACGTTTCGGTGGTACCGTCTTTTGTTTTTGCTGGATGTCCCTCCTTACACCATTTTGGCATAACTCTGGTCGCACCAGCCGGGGTCACACAGGAGGAAGACCACACAGCACTAGGAGGTGCTTTTTCGCCTTCCTTTTGCGACGCTTGCCTTGATTTTTTATTATACCTGAGGGTTCGCTCACTCTCCTGTACGGATGGGGCCGTTGCGTCCTGCATACCTTCGTGTCCACACGCACGCAGGGTCCATCGATGATGATCGTTCGGGGATGGGATTCTTCCATGGCGTGGCGGATGACGAACGTGGTGAGCTGAATGGTAGAGAATAGAGAGCATTGACGGCAAAAAGAAGACTTGTTGCAGGAAGTTCTGCTTCCGAACAAACAGAGAAAGAAGAGGGAAAATAGTACTAGAGTGATAGAAACCCTTACACAGCAGCTTCCGAGCAGCCAACGTCATGCTGCAGAAGCAGCCGCATGGTGACGTCAAGTTAGACGAGTGAGTTATTCGGTCATGGCAGAAATTCGAATATATGACAACGGTTTGGGAAGTTTGGATGTATCTCAGTAAGACAAAGTGGAGGTGGAGAATGCCTACAGGAGTGATATTGCTGTCGCTGGAACCTACTGAGTAGCGGTTACTGCTAACAATAGTAGTGGGTGGGTGTTGTAAACAATATGTACCTCCACAAGAATTGCATCAACTGCAGCGATCGATACGGAAATGAGATGTCCTACATGCTGGCGCCCTGAGAATATACATATTGACCACTTAAGGATTGCGACGGTGCATTCTCATGGCCGCCGTCAACACTATTCATGGGCATCTAGTAAAGCGAAAACTCGAAAGTTTTGTTCTGGAGTAGGCCTTCAAAGAAGTTTGCCCCAATTGATCACCACTGAGATGCCCATAGTCGAATCTCCTACGTGCGTGCCACGCGGCCCATCGTGTTCCGAACTGAAACTGAAAGCAGATCACCTTCCATGAAGATGATTGGAAGACTTGGAAGGACGTGACCGAGCCAACAAAGGTGGCCACGGCTTCCTTCTTTGCAACGGCAAGAGAAGGTGATGAGCAGCGGGAGCCACAACACATCGCTTCGCATGGCCCAGCACGATCCAAAGAACAAGACCAACGCGACAAAGGCGACGACATCCGACAAGGCTCTTCCACCGCTGCCACCACGCTTGAAGGTAGAGCAGGCTCATCGACCGATAGCGGAGCTGCTGCTTCTATTTCTGATACCGGCAGTGTGGACGAAACTCATAACGTCCCCGGCTCGAGCGGCTCCGTCACCGTCCCAAAGAGAAGCCCCATCACCGCCGTCGCAACCGACCAGGCCAGCACCGATCGCTTGTGCGAGGCTATCGCTGATCGTGTCGAGGTGCGCTCGGAAGGGAGGGGCGGGAAGATTGCGCTAAGAACGACACGGCGGCGTGGAGCGGGAGAAGCGAAGGCCGGCAGCGGCAGCGGCGGTAGCAAGCAGGTGGGGGCGGGTAGCAGGGGCGGAGCGGGGCACGGGCATGAGGAGGAGGAGGAGGAGGAGGGGGGCAGGGAGGAGGAGGAGGAGGAGGAAGAAGTGGAAAAGGATGAGGATGAGGACAGGGACGCGGGGCGCGCTTCTAACGAAGGGTTGTACGGAGGGCGGCTAGAGACGTTGGGAGGGACGGTTGGAAGTGAGATTGGTGGACACGACTCTCGGGGACAGGAGAAGGGACAGGTAATCCGGTACAAAATGTGACGGCAAAACATGGAATAGTCTAAGGCGTGCAGTGGGGCGTGCGTTGAGTACTTCACGCCCCAGATTTTCGGCACTTGCACGCTGCTCGAGAGGGACTTCAACGATAACCGCCGATGCTGCTGTATACCATGGTATACCGTTAGATTATGCGTTGAGTGTTCTCAATGAAGGTTAATGTGTGCTGTCTCCCAGCCTCTAACACGCAACACAAGGGCGTGGCCTGGGGGGCATACCTACCTAGGAGGGGCACTCCAAGGTGTGAGTGCGACCAAAACTCTCATGTTCGTGGTCGGGCTTCAAATCATAATGCCCTCACTGGTTGGCCCGCATTTTGCGCTAGTGCTTTGTCGGCGAAGTCGGCCGCCGGCTAATGCAGCATGTACGGTGCTGTACAGCCTACAACTACAGCATGCACTAAACAGCAGCACTTGAGGACGGGCCATAAAATGTACGCCGTAGTAGTACAAGCCTGGACCGTGGACAGCACCCCCTTGGAAAACTGCCCGAAACTTGGGTACTTGAAACAGAGCAAGGCGAGCGGACCTCGAAATGCGGAAAATTGGCTTCGAACATGCACAAGAACTCTCAGTGTTTCTTCATGAAGAGTTCGAATGGCGAATATCGAACAGTCGAAACCCTGCGCTCGACTCGGTAGAGACGCTTTCTGTCAGCCTACCCGAATACCAAACTGCCCACTTGATCGTTCCCGATAGAACGAATGATTGCAATATCACGNCGTGGACAGCACCCCCTTGGAAAACTGCCCGAAACTTGGGTACTTGAAACAGAGCAAGGCGAGCGGACCTCGAAATGCGGAAAATTGGCTTCGAACATGCACAAGAACTCTCAGTGTTTCTTCATGAAGAGTTCGAATGGCGAATATCGAACAGTCGAAACCCTGCGCTCGACTCGGTAGAGACGCTTTCTGTCAGCCTNGAGAGAGAGAGAGAGAGAGAGAGAGAGAGAGAGAGAGAGAGAGAGAGAGGGAGAGAGAGAGGGAGAAAGAGGGAGAGAGAGAGGGAGGGAGGGAGGGAGAGGGAGAAAGAGGGAGAGGGGGAGGGGCAGAGGGAAAGACGGAGAGAAAATTTGTGGCTGTTTTACAGCCAGTTTCACGTAGAACGCATTATTACTCTATCCACATACCTACGGACGTAGACAATGAGAGAGAGAGAAATTTATGGCTACTTGAGAGCCAGTACTCGTGCTCTTGCGGGATTTGTTTCAAGGATTCCATTTGCCTGCTTCGGCTCGTTGCTCCTCTTCTGTGTCGCCGTCGCTCTTTCTCTCCTGCCTATTCAATCTACAAGTGCCCCGCAAAACGGACACCCATGCCCTCAACCATCGAAATTCACACAACCTACTTCCCAACCACACGTTCGTTCAACCAAACAAAATCCCAGCAGGATGCCGCCGTACAGCGCGCATTCCTTTCGCACAAGGATATGGAAGCGCGAATAAAACATCTCGACGAAGGAAAGGAAAGCGCGCCTCCGGCGGGAGCGGGGCTTGGGGGGGGACCCAGGCGTCCCCTGGAAGACCATGCCGGAAGCATCGATGAGGTGGACACGAAAACAAAAAACCAAACGGGCAGGCATTTGTAATTCCTCCCCACAATATCGCTGAAACCACAGTGAGGTAAAGCTGCATGGACACGGGTCTCCACACGTTGTTCAGTTTTGCTGAAACGCCGCGGCCCATGGGCAACCCATGGGCGGCCAATGAGAGCCCTTCAACCGGAACGAGTGCACTCCTAAACAATGGATTATCTGCTTTGAAACGGGCATCGAAGCGGCCAATAACCCTAACGCTAACCCTACCCCTAACCACAAGCCCACACGATACGTGCTAGATTGGCGCTGATGGCTAAGTTCTAGGTTGATATGCCGGAGGCGAAGTTCTAGATTGATGTGACCAAGGTGGGCACTTTATGGGCACTTTATGGGCCGCCCATGGGCATGCCCATGGGCATGCCCACAAGCGGCCAATGGGCGGCTAATGGGCGGCCCATGAAGTGAGGCGGCCGATGGGCGGCCAATGGGCGGCCCATGAAGTGCCCATGGGCGGCCCATGGGTGACCCCTGGGTGACCCATGGGTGTCCCATGGGCGGTTCAGCAAAACTGTCAGTAGTGTGAGAGATTGACGCACATCGAGGAACTAGTTGTTCAATTCTGCGTGTCTCTGAAAGCTCAAGCAAGTGAAAAGGTACAGAACGTGCGGTTTTTTTCTCTTCATGTTGTCACAATTGGTAATGGCGAAAACCCTATGCGGGGACAATGGATAACATCCTTTAGACGAATCGTATGCAGTGTTGAAAGAGCGCTCCAGCGATAACGACGTCGTGCTTCACATTCTGTCCATCTTGCTACCTGTGTCTTGTCGCTCTCTCGTATAATCTCTCTATATATCTATCTTTCTCTCTCTCTCTCTCTCTCTCTCTCTCTCTCTCTCTCTCTCTCTCTCTCTCGCATTCTCATTTTTACGGCGGAACGTGCGGAGTGTCACAAACACTTTGCCCTTGAGAGTCTAGGGTAGAGCCAAGTTTGTGGCAGGGTTATCGCCATCATCTTTGTTTCTCCCGCTCTTACTTTCTCGCCTGTTCCGTCCACGTCGTTGTTTGTTTTCGTACTATCTCAACAGTGGCTGGCCAAGCTCCCCGGCGCGAGAAGCGTGAAAGCCTATGCTCGCCGACGAAGGGTGAGTGAGAATCAACCTCTAAGTAGATGTGTTTTCATCAGCCCGTTGCTGCTTCGGTTTCAGGCGAAAGGCTGTGATGAAACCTCAGCACAACAAGCTAGTCTGAGATGAGAGCTCCGCACATCTTGTAGAGTATAAATACTTCAAGCAGAAGTACCACATCGACAACTATGGTGGGTGTTCGGGTTCAACAAGGAGAACAACCGTCTGAGGAAAGCACCCCTGGTATATGCAGTAGTAAATTTATGTTGAAAAGATGAAAGAGAACAGAAAGCTGCAGTATAGTCTGAATTGAACCTAGGGAAAATCGTCGTAGTACGTCATCAGTCAATGAGTGCCCCATGGGAAGCATCCCATGACAATCCAACAGAAGTCCGATGGACCTGAGGGTAGACCGCACAATATGAGCGCTGCATGACAGCTCATCACGGCCTGTAACGGCCCACAATGGTTCCCGAACGTGAAGCTATTTTGTTATGGTGATGAATGCACCCTACGTTCGCTGCTCGTCCGGCTAAGTGTAGCCTTTGAGTCAACCCGATGTATATGGCGTGCTGTCCGTCTGAATTCGGTCAGCTGGGCGGCAAGATACAGAGCATGGAGGAGGTCGTGGAGCAGGTGAGAAAGAAGGGGGTAGAGCCTGGGGGAACAGGAAATGGTTCCAAGTTCTTACGGCAAGGGTTATGATATACTACGCGGGCTGAATGCCTGTTTTCGGCCTTGGTGGATCAGGGGAAAACTTTTCAGAACAGAGATACCGAGTGGGGCGTGTACTAGGACTGGGTTGGGCGGGAAGCCAACAGTTCTTGTTGTCTTCGCGCGCTGTGCCACATCCTTGATCGTACGGGCGAACCCCACCCTTTCACAAGGGCTCACCAAGATCGCGAAACGAGAACCAAACGAGGTCGACACTTTTGGTGTTGAGGACGCAACCTAAGATTAGGCGATACAACCTAAGATTGGATAAAAAAAGTGCGTCTCTTCATGGTGTGGTGTTCGGCGTGTTACATGGGATTTAACGAGCGAATGTGTTCCCCTGGGCTTCGGAATCTATTCTGAAAAGTTGAAAATTTCAAATTCGTGTGTTCGAATCGTTTTCCGCGCGCGTGGGCTAGAATTTTATTGACCAGCCTATTGCCCAGTGTCCACCAAAGATATGCATAGGAGGCCAATCTCATGTCGACCGACTAGCGACATGGCGTACATGTGTGAAAGCGTAAACAGCAGCACTAATGCGCACGCCCTACCCCGGGTCTATTTTTCGGCCGTTCACAGTCCCTTCGCAAGGAATGTTTTACAGATTGCAAAAGATTTTAACACCTGCACCAATTGTAAGTGTTCAACGCGCCAACTAACCAGATTTGCCCCATCCACGTGGTTGCCAGAGAGGCCACTGAATCGTCTCCATGCGTTCCGGGATCAGCAGGGACAGAGCATGTCCGATATTCAAAACATAAGCGAGCGCACATGCGCAAGCGCAACTGAAACATCTCCAACATATCGTTTCTCCGCCCCAACAAACGCGCTGCCACCGGTTACAAGGACCAAATTGTTTCCGATGTTCAACATTCCGCTGCTGCTATCGATTCGTCCCGTCTATCCTTTGCCGCCCCAACACGCATCACCGGTTAAATCGATGGCCGCGTTACAACACCATCGGTTTCAGCTAGTGGTGATCACGAAAAAGGAGCAGGCAGCTGCGGCGGCCAAGCGGCAAGAGGCGGGTGCAGTTTTTGTTATTGCGATGTCACGGGTCCGTTGCGACGATTCTTTCTGGTAACGTGCATGCTTGGAAATACCTATGGAACCCTTTAAGGGACCACCTCAAAACTGTAACAACGTGTTTTAGGGGTATTTGGTGTATTGTGATGCGTACTATCCAATCGCACCAACATAGACCAGGAAGACTCCAGGGCTAGACTGCGTATCTCAGTGATCAAACGTGGGAAGGTGAGGGTGACTTTTCCTTTTAGGCAGAGAAATATTGTAGGTTTTCCTTGAATAATGCGTTTGTTTTTGGAATCAAGAAACTATTACAACCTAAACCGTTGTTGAAATATTGAGTAAGGGTGAGCCAATATCACAGAACTGGCTCAAGTTGAAAGATCTGGAAACGTGTTCTCGTCATTGGCGTGGCACTCTATGAAACATAGATATTCCGTGGTTCTTTGGACTATGGTCTGCAACCGTACGTAGCAACCTGCGTCTTTTGACAATTATTCTTGGAAAGAAAGGCGGTGCGCAAATGGAAAGATCTCGGAAAGGCGCTTTGCCGGCTTCTGCGCATGTCGGACTACTGGTACGGCTTCGCCTTCGACGGCGCTCTTTCCGGCGAGGAGAGGGCAGCAAGGCGAATCTCAGTCCTGCAACAGGTGAGAGAAGGCGATAGTCCTCAACACAACAGTTTCAGACATCCCGAGGTTTCTGCAGATCGGCGCTGAGTTCTTCCAACGGAAACACAGGACACTTTATCAGTAGGTTGTCGGGGGGCGTTTTCCTTCACCGAAATCAGAAACTCGAATGTTTTCTATACCTTGAAAGTGAAGTTTGTTGTTCCCATTTCCCTGAGATTCATGCCTTCAGCGTTTTCAGTCTACAATCGAAACAAACACGTATATATACATAGTGTTTCAATAAATTTGTAGAAAAAAGAGATAAAGTACTTTGCCGAACGTGTGCTTCATCAGCTGGAAGTGCGTGTAAATCACACCATTGCAGGTGTGCGAAGAAAAATAGCTTGTTAATTGCTGGTTGTAGAGCAAGGGGCTTCGCGCCAGTTGTAACGAGAATTTTTTCCCCGGACTACTATATTTCTGTCTCATAAGCGAGCACAGGGGGGGAATAACCATCCTTCGAAGGTACCCCCGCTGCTTCAGACATACACCGTTTACTTGAAGATGGGAGTTTGATTGCGAAGCGAAGACATCATTCAGCACACAATCATGGTCGAGAGAAACAACTTGGGAACTTTTCAAGAGACCTGTGGCTTGGGAAGATGCCCGAAAACAACGCTGCTTGTGCAGCACTTGATGATTTTCTGAAATATTTTTTGAGGATTGTACTCTTCAGAAGCAGAATACTTCAGGCTGCAGGAGCTACAGATCCTACCTGATACCTACTGATTAACCCCCATTTTAAGGCACATTCCCCGTGTTTCCCGTGTTTCTGGACGCGCAGATTTTGGAGATGCGCGGTGTTGGGCGCACGGCAATGAAGACTCTCGTGCTGGCCATCGCGGTACGTCGAATATCGTTTCCGACGTAATCGAACGCAGCAGTCCCTCTCAATTCTTCCGAAGATAGTTTGCACGCCAAACTGATCAACCGAGATATGATCACGCCACATTTATCACAGGAGCGATACCCGCGATCGGTCTGGTCGAGGTTCCGGCAACTGATGCGGCAGCCGAGGGATGAGAGGAAGCGACGCGACATGGCGGTCTGCGCGGTGCTTCTAGCGGTGAGATTTCTCACTCGAAACACGATGATAACTCGCGGTTCGTACCGCCTATGTACCGAGGAGGTTAGTTCGTTTTCGGCGAGAGGAAGATACCCAGAAAACGGGTAGCGACTGGGATGCGGCCTTGGCAAGTAATACTCCACAAGTCGATAATAAACGTGACATCCATACAATCACGAACTGCATGCTCTTGAGGACTGCCACGCAAGAGCAGTTGATGTATTGAGAACGGCAATACTTGTTGATGTCCTCAATACTTTCGCATCAACCCCGACCTATGCTACAAATCTTTCAGGAGATCGACAACCAGTTCTTCAAGTACACGACTGCCGGATGGCCTTTCTCTCGACTCGTCGACCTTGCCTCGGACTCCCGGCTGGTACAGAAACCAGCCCTATCCGTCCTCTACGAGGAAGGGGAAACTGCTCCGAGGACGATCGACAGCGAAACAACGGTGACCCAAGCAGGTGAAAGAGAGCAAGGCCATTCGCCCAAAATGTCTGTTGAGCCAACGATAGTTTGCCTCCTGCCTAACATTGTACCTGAATAGACAGTCGTCCTATTGGAAGTTGCTCCGCTAGCTACTGCTGCCGCTTTGTGTGGTGTTCTTTGGGGCGGTGGGGTGGGGGGGGGATACTAGACTGTCCCCACCTAAGCGGCGGCGTTTCTCGTGACTTGCCCACGCACCGTATCGGCCGGCCGGCCGCGCTTTGCGTTTCCGCAGCCCAGCCGCCCCCAGCACGAAGGGCTTGGTTGGTGTTGGGCAAAACTCGTACTTCAGATTTCCCAGATTTCCATCAACGTATAGTATCATTCTGTGCTGGTGCGTAGCCACCCTCCCAGCATCCGAGCAATCGAGCAGCAACTTTGGATTTAATCGGACCCGTGTGGTGCACAGTGCCGCCGCCAGTTCCATGTGTTCCACTCGAGAACATGGGCCTCGGAGTTTCTGAAATGAAGAACACGAGTGAGCACAGTCTGTCGTCGTCCGGGAAGAACCCCGACTGCGTCCTTCCGGATTCCTTTTGGTTGCCCCATAGAGCAGTCTAGATAGGAGCCTCGCATAAAAAAGGCATTCTGCATGCTCTCGGCATTCGCTCAAGTGAATGTTATCCTCGTAGTTGTCCTTTCGAATTCCTCCCACTAAACAGTCCAATGCGAGAGTTCGTTGCACCGTTACTGCTGCCGTGGTACTTGAACGTCGTGCTCGATTCTGGGCGATGTTCGCTTTCCTATCGGGGTCCTATTTTCGTCGTCCGCACACGCTTCGCCAGTGCTCGTCCCCAGCGTCGTGTCGATAGCGACCAAAATTATCGACAGCAACAGCGACGACGACCCTAGAGTGGCTTCGGGGTCTTCGTGCGACGAAACTACCTCGTGCAGCGAAGGTGGCAAAAGCAGGGTGGCAGCGGGGCTCAGTAGCACCAGCAGTAGAATGAACAGTAGTACCGGAGGAGGAAGGAGTTCGGGCTGGGGGGGAGTACAAGGAACAGGGCCACCACGGCAGCAGCCGCAGCCGCAGCCGCCGGAGCAGCAGGAGGAGAGATGGACGGTTGGAGCTTACGTTATCGTTCGCGGGTCCGTAAACCTATATATCCTCGAGAGGTGAGTGTGTCTGACAGGATACATCGCTGCCCTCGACGTCGTGGATGTCCGTATTGCCCGAGATATCCGAAAATAGCATCCACTCTGCGGACTATGGCGTAATCCGTGTACTTCGTTCTTCGATGGGGTGGTCCTCGAGATTCCCCACCAATGATGATGACAAGCCCGTAGCCAAGAGCCGGCTATGGCTATCAGGTCAAGAGGGTGGTGATTGGGGTCAGAGTACGAAGCCGTTCGTTTATGCGAATACCTCACCACACAAGATACGCTGCTCGCATGCGACGACATCAATTTTCTTGTGCGTAGTCATCCGAACTCACCCGGCTGCCCTCGCCCAAACACCCATGAGTGCAACAAACAAGATTGGAAAAATGAACGAACTGCCGTATCCAACGGTTTAGACTATTCCGCCTCGGACATCATGCTATTTTCTCTTCTTGCGCACGCATGTTGCATTATCCAGCGGACCCGCAGCGAAGCTGCCAACACCCGCCTCTCAGGACGATCTTGCCACGAAGGCTTCCAGGGGGCAGCCCATGTACCGACCCAGCCCGCCAGCCGAGTGGGAGGCAGCGGACGTGGCGGTGGAAGCGGTGAGGTTTCCCTGGCCGCTTGCTCAGCTGAGATGCCGGACATGTGCATCGACGTGTTACTCTGACGGGATAATACCAGTTGTTTGGTACCCTCCTCGAGCCTGCCATATGTAAATCACATTCTGAGTCTAGATTTCCGACCCCGTGCGTCCGAAACACGTTTCAGTACTAGTACTTGCAGCTGTTGAAATTTGGGGGGAAAAATCGGGAAAGGTTGCCGGTGACACTCGACATGCACAAACACATACACAACGAAGAAAACAATGAAGTGGTCACCCTGCGAGAGAAAATACCTTGACGCACATCGGTTCGCCCAGAGCTCGAAACATTCGTGGGCGAAGGCAGCAACAGCCGCGGGACAGCGGGCCTGTACAGAGACTTTTTTTTTCTGGCAGCTGCTCGTCGATTACTGCTTGTGTTGGCATTCTTGGTGTCTTCGAGTTAACAAACACCTTTGCACTCTCAGAGTACAGTACGACAATGTCTGTCCAAGGGCTCGTTTATCCGAAACATTGTAGGCAACAAAATCAACAAACCACACCTAGTTAGCGTAACCCCCACAAACCCGGCCATATATGACGCCGGTGCCCGACGCGTCACAAACATCGCATTTTTTTTTTTCCCCCTTCTTCCAGCAAGAAAGGCAACCTGGCGTCGGGAGGGGTTCTGGGCTCGTGGCGCGTCGACAGCGCCGGGCGTTCACCGACTACTTGGAGGCCGTCATATCTGGGAGGGGGGCCGAGCCTCGCCGAGCTCGCACGCGGAACATGGCACCCAGGTGGGTGGAAACTCTGCCCACCGCGCAGAAGGGTGGATGGAAGGATAACTTCGTCCAGCATGAAATCCGGGCTCGAGAGCCAATCCAACCTCACCACCTCTTACGATCGTGTGATGGCTTTGGTTCAGAAGGAGGTACAGCGACTCTGAGCTTGCGACACGACCAACTTGAGAAATGGATGCATCTTGTACCGCAACCTATAGTGTTCCTCATAGCGCGTATCCAGAGCAGGACTGGACTCTTGGAGCGTCGTCGCACGCGGAATCCGACAATCATTCGAGCAGAGGTGTTGCTTTGATACCCTGCCCGAGACTTTCACGATCCCATGGACCGTCCATGTAGCAACAACATTATTCGAACAACCAACAACGAGTGAGGGTGTTATCCAACGATCGGTTGATGCTGTAGGCTGACGAGTTGTGCCTGCATTGATCTGTGCATTCCCGTCGTCTATTCATAGCTAACCATGTCTCCGAATAGCAGTAAGTCCCCATGTTAAGCTCAATGAACACGCCTCACCGTACACCAAGCGAGAGGAAAGGTAGCGAGAACTCCCAACAGTGAGTCACCGGAACTTGTTCCTATCTTACAAACACTCCCCGCAATGCGCACGCCAAAAGCCGCCCTGCCGTTGACGAACACTTGGCCGTCCCACACGAATTTCCAGATGGAAAGCGTGCCGCCTGGGAGCTGGAGCTCTGTTTGGCGACCGTCCTGAGGCGGGATCAAACCCAACAACAACAACTGGCGTGTCGCAGCCGCCAGAGGCGGCGACGGAGCCGCCGGGGGCTGGTCCCGCGCTGGAGACGGCCGTCACAGCAGAGGAGACGGAGCTGTTGGAGATCGGGGTCAACACGTACCGGAGGCTTTTGGCGGCCGGCGTCAGGGAGCGGGAAGGCCGGGCGGTGGCCGTGTTGAGAGCGACCGGGGCAACGGTGAGGGCCCGGGTCATGCGCGCATGGATCTGTCGGGAACAGTCATGAGCGAACGCTTTTCTGCCAATGGTATCACCTCGCCAATGGTCTGTGCTATCCTATTGATGAACTGTCACTCGTTAATGAGTGCGAATCGTGCCATCGGTGGGCATCTCGGTCGATTGCCGTGTGTATGTGAGTTGCGGCACACGTGTCGTCACGTCGTTTCCCCCTATTGATACTCTCTCCGCCCCTTGTCTAGCTGCTCTCCTTTATCAGTTCGACCAGCGCTGAATCCCTCCCAACTCCTTGTCACTCCCTGCCTACGCCCGCTACCCCCACAAACGCTGAAAAATTAGTATTACACGAAACCATGTCCCTCAAAACGTTTCACACGAAATCAAGTCCCACCTCCACCGTTGAGCCCCTCGTTGACCATCTTCCCTCTCTCCCATTCTACCTTTGCGGCAACCCCCCTGCAAACGGACTCTTCTCACTACTCGAAAATGAAATCTCGCAGAACGGCGTCCCGACACAGGCCCTAGCTCGCATCTGCCGCTACGCGACAGAGCGCAGCGCCGGCCCGCAACTCGCCAACCCACCTCTCCTGAACCCTCCGTTGGGCCACATATTTTCGGGACATGAGCAAGGAAAAGATGAGTCGGCCTTCGGTTTCCCTAGGGGTATTGACAATGGCAATGACTACAACGACAGCATCATGTGCCGACAAGGAACGTTCCGAGGAACTGTATTCTTCGTCATGGAGGGGCACGGGGAAGTCGTACTAGGCGGCGGTGAGACGCAGATATTTGATGGTCGCCATGAGGAGGGCGGCGGCTCGTCCACCGAGAGTCTCTTGGCCGCCACCGCGTTTGGGAATAGGCGAGCTCCTAAGAACAGAAGAACGCGCGGCCGCCATCAAGACACCCATGTTGGTAGCAGCTCTGGTGGTGGTGGCGGTGGTGGTGGTGGTGGTGGTGGTGGTCGTGAAGGTGACGGAGGCGGAAGCACTACAGGGAGGCAAGAATCGACCAGTGGCTTTCAGGAGGATGACACGTCTGTTGGAGAATCGTCAGTGTTGACCTGGACAGGAATGGTGAGTGGAGCGGGGACACCAGCAGCAGCAGCTGTAGCGGCGATGAAACCGGAGCAGGAAACAGCTGCGACCGCTGTCGATGCAGACTCAGCAGCGTCAACAGACGGCTACCCGCAAGGGCTGATACCAAACGAACATCACGGAAAGGGGCGAGATTCGGGGGAATCGACGCCGATCCCGTCCGCCGCGGCGTTGTCAATTTCGTTCGCAGAAGAGCAAGATCGGGCTGATGGGGACGGCGGCAGTAGCGGAGAGGGTTGGGGGCCAAGGTCGGCAGTCTCTGCCGGGTATCTCAAGAGGGGGGATTTTTTTGGAATAGAGCCCCCGGACTCGCCTACGACCGCTGGCGAACAGGCGAGAGAGCTCCTCTAAAAGGGGAGAGGGAAAGCAGCATGTCCACTCCTGCACAATGAGCGCTCTTCCTTGAACAAACGCGCACTACGTGACAAACACGTTCAGAAATGGAGGCATGATATTGTCAAGTTCATGGCTGAACATTAAGTTTACCTCATTGCCAACCCAAACAACGCTTATCGATGCGGCGCTGAACATTAAGCTTACCTCATTGCCAACCCAAACAACGCTTATCGATGCGTCGCTTCTCGCCGGTGTCTCCCCGCTTGCCTTTTCACACACCCAGAGTTGGCAAGGACCGCCGGATCTTCCAGGATCCACTGCCACGGCCGGTGGCACCACCCCTGCCACTACCGCCGCTGCGCATGGCCGCTCCGACATCACCGGAACCGGTATCACCGCAGCATTAGAGTCATCCGTGGCATCGAACACGACGGCCCAAGCCATGGCCGTAGCCGCGGCACCGGCAGCAGCAGCTTCCACACCACGAGTACCGGACGGCTCCGGCACCAAGCACAGGGATGGCTCCTCGGTACGACTACGGCCCGGCCTCGTCTCCATCACCGACCCTTCGGCCATAACCACGGACCCGGCGTCGGCGGTGCCGGCACCGGTGTTCCCGAGCTTGCACAAAGCGTCGCTTGTTGCGGGGCCCGGCGGACTGAGATGTCTCACGGTGAGGCTGGCGGTGCTGCAAAAGGTCTGCCCGCCGGTGTATCACCGGCTGGCGAGGGTCGTCTCTGAGAGGTACGGGGAGGGACGTCCTCATTCCCTAATTGGTTGTATGGTGACCACGTGTCCCTTTGAAGGCAGGGGCATTCGAATCGAACAAAGACAACCCCGGCAAAGGGAAGGCTTTACCGTGTATTTTCGCCGTGTTTTTCTTGGGAAGGAGGGGGTTGCTCGGTCCCACAATACCAACAATGATTTTGAGTAAAGCGCACACGTCCCCACGTCATGCTTGCCTTGGCCTGCACCCTTTTGGCACCCATCACGTCGACGGTGGACGAGGGCGAGGGGAGGAGGAAGACGACGACTGAACAAACTGAAAGACGGCACCATCACAACAATCCAAACACCGACAAAAAAAAATGATGCAGGTACTCGGAATGGATGACGGAGGCCAGACGCAAGAACGAAGAGGACTGGCAAGAAAGCCTCGAGAGCGAGTCGGTTCACTCTCTCAGCAGGTCGTTCTACGACAGCTTCGCCAAGGTGGACTGCAGCGGCAGTGTTGCCGGCAAGGTGAGTCCAGTTCGGGACGAACCGGATGAAAGCATCATGCCATTATCCGCACTCGTGAAGACCTGTCTTTCCTTGAGGACGCACGGGGTTGGTTGCCTCAACCCCCGCTCTGAAAACGCTGCCACGCTACCTTCTCTTGAAACCTACGAGAGCCAGAGACTCGGAAAAAATCAGCACCGCAGCGGGAAAAATACCTGACGGCGGTGGGGGCGTTCTAACACCTCCTACGACCGCTTCGGCGGTGAATAGCTCTCAACCCTTGCGTTGCCTAAGCATCTCCCTGGCTCCATCAGGTCACGCCCCCACACATGATGGTATTTTGGTGCACCTTACCAAAGTTTGGACTATTGCACGTTTCCTGCGGTGTAACCCCCCGGCGCGCGCTTTCTCTCTGCTTACGCCTCAAGATTGAGCGAAGTACGGCGCCACCCAACGCGCAACCTGTAGTGATATAGAGTATTTCTGAGGGCCGTTCATTCGATCAACGCACAACTATTCACTTTTTCACTATCGATTGACCCGCGAACTTCGTAGCCCCTTCCCCTGCGTTGGCAACAACTCCTCTCTGCACGTTGCACTGATGTCGCCACAACACAGGGGGCCAATGACGTGGAGTCATCCGTGGGGTGGACATCCAGTGCCGAAGGCGGTCGCGGAAGCAACAGCGTCCTCGGTTCCGGTGATCGGGCCGGCAGCGACGGAGACGAGGGTACCATCGAAGCAGCCACGCTAGGGATGGCCTCGTCGAACTCCATCTCTGCATCGGGTAAGAGCAACAAGAGCATTTTCGAACTCAGCCGGAGGTATGTTGGACTGGCGCTTTGCTCGTCGGCCCGCAACGTCGTCCCGGTGCGTCTCGGCCGGGTGCTCGTGCCGGCGCAGCGAAACACGCCTTCATCTTCAACCAGTCCGCACCGCAGTCGACAGAGGCGACCCGTTCCACCTCCTCCAGTAACCACGGTCTTAAGCAGCAACAGCAACACCAGCGACGATGGCGGGACAGCTCACCGACGAGTTAGCCCACGCTCCAAAGCCACCTTTTCGGTGATCTCTAGGGCTGCCCGTCGCCACTGCTTCGCTCCTCCTGCTCCCGCAAGTGCTGCCGGTGCTGGTGTAGGGAGTCACGCCCCTTCTACTGGCACGATTACGGACGGCCAACAAGCGGCCGATCAAACAAAAACAATGTCACCTCCGCGCACCAACACCGGCCCCATCTCCACGGGTTCGGCGCCCGTCTACCACAAGCACCATCAGAGTCCACGAGGTACCGGAGGCTCTCTAGACAACACAGGAAAGGCCAGTGTTCATTCTTGCGGTGGTTTGGTGACCGGCAGCGGCGGTACTGTCTTCGCCGGGAGCAGTGGTGGACATAGCGGTGGTGACGGTGGCGGCGGCGGCGGCAGCGTCTGCAGTCGTGGACACCGCTGTGGTAGCAACCTCGCACGAGGGGTAACGGTGCCTTCGGAGCGGTTAGGCACAGAGTGGGCAGCAGCCAACGTGTCAAACCTGTTGGTGAAGTATCACCAAGTTGAAATCTACGACTGCCCAGTGTCCCCGTTCTCGGACCCCCCTTCCTGGGTGGATATCCCCCCCTTGGCGGTGATGGAGCCACCGGGGCACTCGCCGCGGTCGAGCACCCCGACCTGTGCAGCGGCTAGCATCGTAGCGGCGATGCCGTCAGGCGAACATGCACCGGAAGTAAGCGGAGCTAGCCCAGCCAACGAAACGGCAGCTAGTCCCCCGTCTTCGCCGCTACACGTGGAGGATAGAACACCAACGGTGGCTGCGGCGGTGGCGACCCGGCCCGCTGAAAAGACAGTATTCCAGATCGTCACTTCTCGGCGTCGCCCGAGCTACGGTTGGGGGTGGAAACGCCCTCCGGGGCAGAAGGGCGGGGCACGGAAAAGAGTAGTAATCCCGGGAAGCACGGCGGTGCCCTCGCCGTCACTGCATGGGTGGGAGCGGCCGGGCCGGACTAACATGAGCACGGTTCCACCGACCTCGTAAGTAATGTCTCATGGGTTCGGTAGGTAGGGTATAGGGAACGAGCTGGGAAGGAACGTATTGCGTTTTTGAGCGAACCTCCGCCACTCGTTCGCCATGTGCGGCGTTTGTGGGTTGAGGAAAGCTTGCACAGATATTGTTGCTGAAATTCGATGCTGTGACAGCAACCCGACCAATAGTCGTCAGCGTCACCTGTCTGAAGCTTATGCGTTTTCAGCACTGGCAGCACTTCAGTAATTCGATAACCCGGTTAAAGAAAAGATGCCCCGACCGGAGTTCGATGGACTCAGCAACAGATCAATACACTTCACACGTGATTACCAAAAAGTTTGCATGATACAAGTACACACCCCAGGAAACTCACGAGAAGCATCGCACACGGACTGCCTAGCGCGAACTCAAACAATTCCCCTCGACGAGCTGACGCACGTCGGAAAGACGTTGATCCGGGTGGTGTCATGCCACCAAACTGGCTGCCATTGCACGGTTGTCGGTGGGGCGGTATTGAGTTGTATTTGTCGATCCACGCTGTTCGTTATGATGGGTTTGTATTCGGTCGCTGGACCGACATTGATCGGAGGTCGGCAGTGTAGCAATGCATACACAAGTCCGCCGGTACAGACCAGCGTGTATGAGTGCCAATAGCCGGGTATGATCAATTCGTTAGGAGAGGTTGCAAAGGTCACCTTGCTATAGGCAATCGTGGTTATGCCACCGAGCGCTCGATCGCGTCTTCGTGACGAATTGTACACGTATCGGAATAATTTAGCTCGTTTGCAGCTTCTGCAATCTTGGCTGGACAATCACCGTGCCCGTCATGCGCCGAGGACATCGCACTGCACACGTGCCAAGGGACGATACTTCTTTCGACTGGAGACGCTTCACCGGAAGGTTGCTTTTCAGACCTTCGCCAGCCTTCTAGGTGATTGATGGCCTTCCGATTTTCCATAGTATCACATTGAAGCTCGTTCGCATAGTCAACTTCAACGGTGACACATAACCTAAGCATTTTCTTGCTATGTACACTTCATATTCGGCGGCACTCTCCCTCTGCGTGACGCTTCGACAGACAGAAAAGGAGCTCATTCACACGAATCGCCTCAAGCCACACACACACATACACCCCGTGTGGACTCCAGCCAGTCATGACGGTATGAACAACAGTTGTAGGCTAGTCCTGATCTTCGTCTTCGTGTTGCCCGCTGCCACCGCGTCGTCTGCCACACCGAGAACTGGTCCAAAAAACAACGAATCTCGAGAAAGCGAGATCCTCACTCTAACCCAGCTGTCGTCATCCACACCGCCGTCGCAACCACGGCGGCAAGGCCCTCGACACACGGTCCGTCCAGGCTAAATCTCGTCCTCGTCTTCGTCGTCGTCCAATTCATCGAACGGCCTCTCCGGGAAATCCCCGGACGTTACGTTCTTCCCGCGCACGAAGCCCCCGAAGCCCTTCTGGCACTCGAACAGGCGCTTCCCTCGCACCGTGCCGTCCCCGCGGCCCACCGGCTCGTCGAAGCGAACACCCACCCAGTAGCCCGCCTGGCGTAGAAAGAGAAAGAGAGGGAGAGAGAGAAATGGAGCTCATCGATGCATCCAGGAAAAATGAAGAAAGGAAAAAAATGAGCTTCGACAAACGACTCCAAACGATAACAAAAAACACAGAGCCGTTGACTATCACGCGTCAGGCGTCTACGGGGACCATACCAACAGTCACGGAGCCAAGGGAATCGTGTCCAGACCCGAAGTACAGCATCGAAGCTCGCGACGACTATCCCAAGCATCTAATGTTTGGGCCGTTGACCATAGGAAAGCATGCAGCGACGACTACGCAAACGATGAGCAACATCTTTTTTTCATGTGCTCGATATCGAAAGGTGTGTGAGTGACGTCTTTCTGGACCCAACCAAACTGCAGTTTGGCACTTTACGTCAGCATTGACATCTGGAAGACACACCACTTTCGTACGGAACAAAACCCGAGCATGGTTCACACCACCGTGCTCACTCTGTCGATGCCCGAGTCCCTAACGGAGGCACTATCTACGCCCTGAACATTGTTTACCGGATGAAGGCAAACCTCGAAGTCATCGAGCAGCTAGCAGTTGGTAAATGATGCTCCGTATCATTCAACTTTCGAAGTATTCCGTTAGTGTGCTCCGCGTAGATCTCTGGGATGACAAAAACATCTCTCAATATCTGCCGTTGCCGCACGGGCTTCAAATGAGAAAACGAAACAACAAACAACGACCAACCTGCAAGCCTTCCACCTCTCCCACGTACTCCACCACCCCTCTCCTGCCCCCCGGCTGCACTTCGCACCGTTGCTCCACGGCGATCCCTTCCACGCTGTCCTTCCCGGGCGAGGGCCCGTCCTGAAAATTCGGAAACAGAGGTCGTGCAGACGAATAAGACGGCCAAACGATGACAAGCCTGCAAGTCGCAGGGGCCGCATCTACGCGAACGTGGTATTGTAGTCGGCATCAGCGCGGAAACAGCGGAATCAGCATACCGCATAAAACGCACAATGAGAAGCTAGCTCTGAGGGCCAAGCAAGTGCCACAAAACAAGCGGTGGTTCGCTGCTTTCTCTCACGGCTTATGTCAAGCCCAAGTGCGGCACTACAACAGCCCGAGAGGGTATCCCTCGGTCAAACGATAAAACGGCGGTGCATTCATTGTCCCTGACACCGATGAAAGAAGCAGCCCGCGCCCTGTGCAGGGAACCACGGCGTGCATGGGTCAATTGATAACCTGACCGTCTACCACGCTTCGAACAGCTTGCTCGGGGTGACAGTCTTCCGTTCAGGGTTGATATATGACTCAAGCGAATGCGGGGCTCAGGAGCGGCGTGGCAGGCGCCATTTGGGGGGTGTCGCGTCGAGAGTAATCGCCTTTGTTCCGTCGTTTCGCGTCTCTGGACTTCCTGTCCCAGGCCACGTGCGTCACATTCTTCTTTTGGTCGCTCACCGATGGGGCTTTGCCCGCTGCCCTCTTGGCTTCCCGTTCTTTCTCGATCCACGGCTCCACCCAAGTCGAGTCTTTCGCCTTCTGTTCCTTCACCCAGCTCCTGCTCCCACACACATCAGCATGCCAAGTTACACCGAAAACACCGTGTAAAGACCAAAGCGTTGTTAGGGGGGCACACGACTTGCAGACATACATTCCCGCTGGAAGGGGGTAACAGAAGGGCCAAGGTTGGCATTGGTTGAGAACGGCAACGGTCTCCAACCATCGAACTAGCATGACCTAGGTTGTTGCAACGCCAGTGGAGTGGAGGGGGGGGGGGAAGGGGGGGGCTGGAAGTACCGCTTCAACTGCTGCTGCAATTGGTGGCTTTGGAGGGATTGGATGACGTACAGTACTTCGATAGTGCAGGTGAACGCGCTTGTACCGTGGGAATCCCATGGGCTGTGGCCACATCCCGTACTCCGCCGGAAATCAGTTGCGAAGAACTCCCACGACATGTAGTCCGCAGCTTCGAGCTACTAATGTAGTCAGCAGACTGACGCCCGACAGCTACCGATGTTTCGCCCTACGATCCGTCTTGCGCGGAAGTGTAGGTGCCCCGCGGCCTCTCTTATTTTGCCGCTTCGTGCGATACCCTTTGGCTGACTCTCTCTCCCACCGACGCTAAAGGCGAAACAGACTACGTGTCGTCCCCGGCCGACACACAAAATCAACACCGACACGAGCCCGCAGAAAAAGTACTAAAGAACGTCTTAAGCACATTGCGGCGGGTCGGGGGTCTGAGGTGCGCCCGTCACCTCTCGAAGGTGACCGGACGGTCTGCACGGTCTGCACAGGAAGTCGCGATCCTGCACAAAAGCAACGACCAAACTCTGTGTTTCATGGGGAAAAGATCTAAGGTTCTCTTGAGGTAGTGGTGCGGTTTACCTGAGGCTGGATTGCATGGAATGTGGCAAAGCGGGGATGGGGGGGGGAGCATCGCACCTGAGCGTCCCCTCTCTTCTGTCGTAGTCCTCCTCGCTCATCCGGTACTTTGGCACCCGCGACAAGTCTTCCAATGCCCCTCCGCGAGTGAGGGAGAACGGATCATCGTCGGTCACGTGTATCTGGGGAGTGGGAATAGAGGACAGCCGGAAACAGGAAGCAGGAAACCGCGGCAGCAGCAGCAGCAGAAGCCGTTCGTTAACGGTGTCAGTGCTGATGTCACATGTTGTGGTTCGTTGTGGAGCTTCCTTGTTGGATATTGCTGCTGTTGTTGCTGCTGTTAGACTTATGTCCAGTGTTAGATAGCGACCGTGGTCAAAAGTCAGAACTACAGAAGCGGAACTAGGACACGTCTGAAACTGCAAATTGGCTTTTTTCTTCCATGCGCTTCGAAGAACCACTGGACATCCATCGAGGAGCAAGACCAACACCATGTTACACGTACGCGGCGGTACTGCGCCGGAAGCATCTTCATGCGCTTGGCTCTCACGCTCTTCCCCAAGCGGCGCTTGAAAAAAAAAGCTGACAAACGATGGCAACGGTAAAGAGAGCAATTTTCATTGAAACGTGGTGATTTGACACCTTCCCAAAGAGTACGCGGTGCAACAGCACCCCATTGCAACAACAGAGAACAGCGACATCAGTCGTACACGCTACGGCCACGGCTGCAAGCTACGACTACGAAAGCCTTCACCTCCATCCCCGACTGCACTCCATAGAACCCCAGCATCTTCGAGTCGTCATCCAGCTGGCACATCTGCGACAAAAAGAGAACGAATTAATATCACTGCGCGTAGCTTTCCGTCGGATTCCGACACGTCACGTGTCATGACATACTACCGTACACGCGACGCGCATGAACGCACACCAGCATCTGCTGCTTGACACCCTCAGCGCGCAAGTCTGCCCGAAGAATGTGGTGGCTGCCTCGGACTAGGCCCACGCTTTGACAAACTCAGCCCTCGGCAGTGAAGACATCAGCCCTGCCATTGCCAAGTCCATGTTGCAAGAAGTTGAGGACGCATCGCCCGTCTGAACAAGCACACTTCCGGAATGCCAGACCATGCTTGGCTCTCGTTCCACCCAATGTGCAAGCAAGAATGCGAGCGCCTTAGCCTCTTGAGTGGGCGCCGTGAACTGTATACTCCTCGCAAAATGAATCTGCGCTGACCTGGTGGTCCGCCCTCTACACCCCACGCCGCACATAGAGAAAGGGACCGCTCGACTTACCGTCTGCCCGCCCGAGCGTAGGCTGAGCTTCTGCATCCCCGGATTGGTACCGCAGTGCGTGTAGATCTTGCCTTTTACGTCTCCGATCTGCCACCCATCAAAGAGAAAAAAGAGAACCAGCTTGATTTGTGAACGGGGCGGCCGAGGAGGGAATAGTGGTTCGTCGCAAACGTCCGTCTCGGGTGGTGAGCGAGAACTTCTGTGCGGCGTGGCCAGCACAGAGGACACCGGTGTCAGTGGAACCGGTGCTAGCATGTCGCCCGCCCGCCACAGCACGAGAGACCACGCGAAGCACCTGCCATGTGGCGACAGTGCTTGCTTTCGGCACAATGGGCCCCCGCAACCCCAACGACGGGGCGTTTTTGGAATGCTCTCGATGCCTTCCTTGGAGTAGGCGGCTGATTGCGCATGTCTTAAGCTGTTCGACATACATGTTATAGAAGCCGAAAATAAATCGTTAGCCCAGTTAGCGCTGACCAGTCTAATGGTTTGATTTCGGCTTAAATGGTTTGATTTCGGGTTCTGTATTACCACACAATACACGGACTTCAGTACGAAAACATTCACAGAGCCGCGGCGGTTGCGCCGCCGCCGCCGCTGGCTGCAGCAGCAATCCGGAGGGCAAGGACATGTACACCCGCGAAAAATCTGCAAGGGCAAATGACGAAACGATTGGAGTCAGCAAAAAGCACAACGAGTTCAGGCGGAAATCTGCTCACCGTCTGGCTGAGGTCGAACTTGAGCTCGATCATGCGCGCGGTGATGTTGGAGTGCGAAATGTTGACGCTCACGACTCCCTCCGGCAGCCGGGAGAACTGCTCACCGTCCGCGGCGATTACCCAGTCCTTAAGGGCAGCCAAGTCTGCCGCCATGGTAGCGTTGCCGCTGCTGCCTGCTGTGAATCCGCCGCCCGTTTGCTCTTTTAGCCCAGCGAAAGAAGGTGGACGCAAGAATATCGGGTAGCAGGTTAGGGTGCCAGTTTCAAGATTATCCCGAAGGCGGTGTAAAGGTGAGACCCACATTGGGGTGATATCGGGTATCTCCACAGCGGATGCCAAGGTACATATCGAACAGGGGGTGTTGGAACGTGTCGTTCAAGCATTCCCAAAGGGGCACACCGCTGCGCTACTTGTCTGTTGTTGTCGACACGCCTAACTTCAGAAACTGGCCAAAGGGGCGTGGCGCGTCATACCTACTGCACGTAGTACACAAGGTCGCCCAGTGGTCTAGTGGGTAGCCTCGTAGCCTGCTAAGGGCCAGGTCATGGGTTCGAGTCCCGGCAGAGTGATTTTTCCCTCGCTGATTAAATCCTGGTCTCCGTTGGAAGCGACGCGCTGCAAAGCTCGTTGTTAGTAAACTTGATCGACTTCATAAGGCGCGAGGGCAGGGATTGCTGTACCCCCCTCGCGATAAAAATATCTCAGGCAGGAACCGCACGAGGGGGTCCTACCCCCTCCTCCTATGTGACCCCGGTTGGGTCGTCTAGCTGGTAGAAGAGGAGGATAGGGGCCAGAGGGGCAGACGACAGAGTCCAATGATGGGAGAAAAAAAAAAAAGTAGGCCATTGAGCAGCTCTTGATAAGACGCAGCAGAGGGCCCGGCAAAAACCGTAGGCCCGTTCTGCCACGTAGGGCAATCCCGCCGCGTTTTCCTTCCAGCAACTTCAGGTGCACAGCAGTCCAAAGGGGTGGCTGTTTTTACTTCGGTTTCGATGGGCGGGTACAGCACTAGTCTACTGCTGTCATCCGGCGGTAGTGAGCGAGAGCTCCTGAACAGCGTCAGAGGACACCTCTGCAGTACAGTACCTCGCCTCTATTGGATCCATCACATTGGCAGTGATACCTGGGGTCTCCACCCCAATCTCTTCTTCCCTCTCTATCTCTTGTGTGTGGCAGCTGCTACTTGGTTAACCGTGGTCAAATCGAGGCGCGGTTGTACTTGTTGCACACGAGAGGCCGACCTCGAGTCGCGGAAGTATATAGTACTCTGCTTGTACACTTGTTTGCAAGAGACCGAGCTCAAGTATTTACTAATCTGCTGGTACACTTGTTTGCAAGAGACCGAGCTCAGCGAGGGAGACTTCGACCGTTACTTTTCGAATTTCGCGGGGGCTCACACGGGTGTTTGAGGCCTCCGCCTCGGACCAGACGAAAAAACATATCAACTGATTAACTCACCAACGTCTTTAAGTCAATGCCCGCCCCCGAGTGCTGTTGTGTGAGCTCGGGGGACGGTAGGCGACGCGGTGAGTCAAACCAGGGGGCTCGAAAGACAGGAGTATATCTTGTGGAACCGCCCCAAAAAAGTGAAAATATTTCTTCGCAGACCCCCCACACCACATCCGTCCTTGCTCACCACGCAACGGTAATAGCGACACAACTGCAGTAGTGACACGGAAGAGCGCCTGCTCACACGCACCCTCTGAAGGCGATACTCGAGTCATTGACTGGCCAAGCCCGCCCAGCACGCTCGGTCTCACAACAACAAGCCACTGGAACGAAAGCACTTCGGTCGCCGTGAGTTTCAAGCTGACAGTCCCGCCATCCATCCTCGTTTTTGCCACCACCACCTTCGCTTTCACCTTTTGGTCACCTCAAGGGCACCTCGAGGTCATCCCAAGGTCACCACAAAGACGAGGGAGAGAAGGTGACGCAGGGTCGCCACCTCCACCTCCAGTTAACCGCGGCCCAGGCAGATTCACACGTCACAGCAGTCGCTGGGGGAAGTAAGCAGTGCTCCATCACCATGACCCAGCAACCACCCACGCCGGCGGCAGAGGGAGGAGGAGAAGGAGGAGGAGGAGGAGGAGGAGGAATGAACGCCAAGGAGAGGCGAGCGGCCAGACGAAAAGCCGAGCAGCAGCAGCAGCAGCAAGTGGCAGAAGACCAGAAGACCGCCACGGCAGTTGCAGGTGCCGCGCCCACATCCGGTGACCCACATCCGAAAAGGACGCCCAACGAGGGAGGCAGCAGCGCTCCAACGGCGACTGCGCCGGGGGCGGCCGGAGGAACGAGCGCTAAAGAGCGCCGGGCGGCCAGGCGAGCGGCCGAGAGAGCTGCCGCGGCCGAGGCTGCCGCGGCCGAGGCAGCTGCCGCGGCTCCGACTAACGCGAAAGAGCGGCGCGCCGCGAGACGCGCGACAGCGGCGGCGGCGGCGGCGGCGGCGGCAGGGCCAACTACGGCGAAGGAACGGCGGCTGCTGCGTCGCGAAGAAGAGCGCAAGAAGCGAGAGAGAGAGGGTGAAATCAGCGCCCCGCCGCCATCGAAGCGAAGCAAAGACGCCGAGGCCGGCGGCGGCGGCGGCGGCGGAGGGTGCAGCAGGAACCCTTTCATCGTGTTCGTCGGACAGCTGGCGTTCTCGACGACAGCGGAGAGGGTGGAAGAGCACTTCAGGACGAGGTATGTGTGTGTGCGCGTTTGTTAGCATCGACCGCGTTACGCGGCTGACCAACGTGTGTATTGAGCTGAGTTGATTTTTTCGGTTGTTCAGCTCTTGTATGGTGCATGTTGGGTTGTTTTTGTGCGTGATGTAGGCGGGTAGAAATGGCTTCTGCAACCCGCGGGAGCGTGGTGCTACCGAAGCTTTTGGATTCAACCGACTCAACGCTGGCGAAAGATTCCCCTTGCCTTTCGCCGAATCCGCTCAAGCAAGGACTTGGAACATCAAGACTCGCCCAGCATGAACCTGACCGCACCGCACCCCACCGCACCGCACCGCACACACCCCTCCTGCGCTTCGCCGTCTTCCTCGCTCGCTTCTTTGTTGTGCCAACGCGAAGGGGGGGAATAGAGGGCAACATCTCCGTGCGGCTGCTTACCCGCAAGGGCACGAACCCTCCCCAATCGAGGGGCATGGCCTTCCTGCAAGTTGATGATGCCGAGAGTGCGTACCAGTGCCTTAGCCTTCATCACAGCCGGCTCGATGGGAGGCTGCTCAACGTGGAGCGGACCAGCGGTGGGGGGAAGGTGAGTGGGGGGGGGGCTCCGGCAAATGACAGATTTCAAACTAAGGGGGGCATCTCGCAAGGGGAGATGGAGCCAGAGAAACTAGAAGGAACGGTGGGTGGGGGCGGGGTAGGCAGATGGACAGCCGCACAGAAAGACGTCAAGAGGCGACGGCAAGCATGGAGCTTTGATCGGAAGCACGGAGTGAGGAGGAGAGAGTAAACGAACAGGCTACCTACCTGCCTTGCAGTGGGTGCACGCACTCGAATTTCCCGCAATACCATCAGAATTTTGAACGTGTGCATCAGCGGTCTCAGCGGCTACGCATTGTTTCTTGGCAAAGCCCTTCCTGCACCCGTCGTCTCCCAAGCACGGCATCCTCGACGGAAATATTCCGCGCAACCAGTTGTAATTCGTTCTCTATTTTGGAATCTCAGCCCCCCTATTTGTATTCGTCGTGTTTATCTCGTTTTTTTTTTGCAATTTTTCTCTTTTTTTTGGTGGTCGAGTAGATCATGTTGTGCGGGGTCGAGAACCCTCACTCCGCGCAAGGGAGATGATCGCACCACGTTGTGTTAAAATGGTCAAGCACCCTCGAGGCAGTTACACAGTGCTTACAACTGTCTGTGGAAGTGAAAGCACCAGACAATAAATTTCGTCATACGCAGCTGTCATCCGTACACAAGGAAGTAAGCACAAGATGCCGAA